ACTGCATATAATTTGCCACAGCAAGTGTAGAAGATGGAGGGTGGGGGGTGGGGGGAATTGGCATCATCTACTTTGTTTCCCACTCATGGTCATACCTGTCTTCATGGATTAATTGCAGTAAACTCTTAATGACAGTGAAAGCTCACAAAAAATCTCTGAAACATGATGGTCTATTGCCAAGCAGACTTGATGGTGCCTAAAAAAAACAAATGCATGGGTATTGTCCTCCAAATTCCATCAGTTAAACATCACATATTATTTTTGTATTTCTGCACAAAGCCAGTGATCAGGTCTGCTTTGAAGTTCGGACAGACTCAAATCTATGCCGTGATGTATGAATGAACCATCCTTGACAGTAAGTCTGACCAAATGACAAATATATTGACAGGCAGATGAAAACAAAAGATTTAATGACAAACGTAATAGAAATCCTGACTAAATATAAAATGTCAAATTGACAGATAGGTTGACAGGAGAATTAAGGAGACAGAAATGGATTAAAGTGCTCTTAAAGTACTGTGTGTGTGTGTGTGTGTGTGTGTGTGTGTGTGTGTGTGTGTGTGTGTGTGTGTGTGTGTGATAGATAGATAGATAGATAGATAGATAGATAGATAGATAGATAGATAGATAGATAGATAGACAGATAGATAGATAGATAGATAGATAGATAGATAGATAGATAGATAGATAGATAGATAGATAGATAGATAGATAGATAGATAGATAGATAGATAGATAGATAGATAGATAGATAGATAGATAGATGAAGTGCCCTAAAATATGGTGCACCAATAGTACAGTCTTAAATAAAAGCACATAATCCCCAGTATGCCACTACTGAAAATTGAAATTGAAAGGAATGGTTTCTGCATTTGCTTGTGACATATTCACAAACAGTGAGCTAAACTGTTTAGGAAATTCCAGATTAAGAAATAAACTCAAAACATTTTTTATTGACAGTAATTGTTTATAAGTGTTTGAATTGTATGTGGTAAGCAAGTGTGTGGGATGCTTGATCTCTACTGGAGGAACTTCTTAACTCAGTGGACATGTCCTCCCTTTAGGTTCAAGAATTTGGTGTTTCAGAGTCCATCAGAGCGGTTTAACTTACTATAGTGGTCAGTGGTACCTTCAGTGTCAAACCTGCAGGGGTACCTTTAGTGGTACCTTCAGTGGCAAGGCTGCAGGGGTACCTTCAGTGGCACCTTCAGTGGCAAGGCTGCTGGGGTATCTTCAGTAGCACCTTCAGTGGCAAGGCTGCAGGGGTACCTTCAGTGGCACCTTCAGTGGCAAGGCTGCAGGGGTATCTTCAGTGGCACCTTCAGTGGCAAGGTTGCAGTGGCACCTTCAGTGGCAAGGCTGCAGTCATACATTCAGTGGAAAGGTTGCAGTGGCACCTTCAGTGGCAAGGCTGCAGTCATACATTCAGTGGAAAGGTTGCAGTGGCACCTTCAGTGGCAAGGCTGCAGTCATACATTCAGTGGAAAGGTTGCAGTGGCACCTTCAGTGGCAAGGCTGCAGTCATACATTCAGTGGAAAGGCTGCAGGGGTACCTTTAGTGGCACCTTCAGTGGCAAGGTTGCAGGGGTACCTTCAGTGGAAAGGCTGCAGGGGTACCTTTAGTGGCACTTTCAGACAAGGTTGGGGTTGAATGGCTAGCCCGCTTCTTCAGTTTTGAGTGTAGATAAGGCAGTGGACTTTGGACTGGAAAACTGGAAAGATTGTCCCTATAAAAAATAAAAAATAAAAAAATATATATATTTTTTTAAAGTTAACAAGAGAGTATGTAACCAGAGATCCCAAATTATAGGGAATCAAACTCCTCAACCGCTCAGGAAAAGTCTATGTCAGGTTTCTGAAGAACTTGTGTGTCCCAGAGTGTGGAACAGTGGACAAGATAATTACTCCTGCACAGCTTTTAAAATAAAGTTTATTCTGTACACTTTAGGGTCCTTTTTATTGTCCCTCTGGTAAAATCTGAAAAGGTGCATGAAATCATACAATAGTACAGTAGATATATTACGTCCGATTTTTAACTGATTTTTTTTTTTTTTTGCAATTCCATTACACCAGCCCCCTCAAACAAAGCAATTTTTTCTATAAAATAAAGCCACAACAAATGATTTAATTTAAATCAATAAAAATCATATAAAATGATTTAGTTGCATATTGAAACATTACCAAAAAAAAACATGTATGTTTCATGCTTCAATGGAGATGAAGGTCACGGAGTAGATCAACAACACAACAGAGCACTTTTCATGTGTTATGCTATTTTCCCCAAACATAAACATATCTGATGCTTTCTCAGAAATATCAATGCATCAAATAATGTTTGTTGTGGTGTAATATGATATATAATATGAAGGACCCCTAAAATAGTAGGTTTTGGTATTCCAGGCCTATTTACCTGTCATATGACTCAGGGATTTGGCATACATAGACCTGACAGCTTGTGTGGTGGTGAGAGCTGCATATTTTTGTACCTTTTTAATAAGTGCATGTCAGTGAAATGGTTTGGCCATAGATAAGAGACAATTCACAATGGCAGCTTGATGACACTATTAAGCTTTGAACTATATTCCTTCCTAGTGAGCTTTAACATAATACAGTGATTATATACTATATTGATCTTGGCAAAAAAACCAAAACCCTTTTAGTATGCTTAACGGTTTATTAACAATCCTTTTGTTGAAAACATGCTTGTTCCTTGGCACCTCCACTGAATTTGTACTTTGCAGTCAATGCACAATAGCTCAACACAAGACACTATAATGCAACACAATAACACTGTCTGTATCTGAGTCTCTTTGGTTCTCCAAATATCTGTATCTTTATTCAGATTTAAACCAGAACTGGACGTGGCTTAAACTAAAGAGTTTTAATTTATTTAATATTAACACAACCACAATGCAAAAACTGGAAACATTAGAAACAAATCGCAGCACTGTAAGTATGGTGTGAGCATCCTGGCTGTGACAGTTTCTCAAACTCAGTTACATCACTCAACGTCTTGAATTGTCTCAACTAGAGATCCCACCCGAGCGATTATATATGTGTGTGCATATATATATATATATATATATATATATATATATATATATATATATATATATATATATATATATATATATATATTAAAATTATAATGTCATAACATAGTATCTCAAATATAATTTTGTGTAAATTAAAGATACATGTAGCTATAGGTAATAAATCAAATAGGAGAACTAAGCACAAACATTTAATGAACTCACAATTAAGTGCCTACTGAGAAACAATATACAAGATGTGAAAAACAGAATAGAATATCAGAAATTTGCGTTTCATAGAGAAAGCCAGTGTCACAATTACAAGCAGTTTTGTAATGTGTTCACCATGACAGGTTTCTATGCACAGCACAGACAGAAAAATAAGCTGATGAAAATAAAACATCAGATAACAGCCCATATTTACTAAAGTACATTAGAGACCGAGAACTGATGAAGCATCAGATTAATTCTATTTGTACAACCAGATTGTACAGAGGTGCAAATGGCAAAACAAACAAATAAACAAACAAAAATTCTGATTCAGCACTGGTGTAGAGTATTTTCACACCATTAAAGGAATTTCTCCTCACAAAGATACTTAGCTTACAGAGCCATGAAAGCTAGGCTGAGGGAAGTTTGATATCACTATGGAGTAAATCTGCATGTCCCATGCATTAGCCCTTTCATGCATAAATTCTTAAATACCTAATCAGATTTAGTCCATGTATGTGGTCACCATGCATTAAAGACTTAATTCAATCATTCATTTTTAAGTCTAAAATATAAAACAAACAATATTCAATAGTCTTGAATTGTCTCAACTAGAGATCCCACTCGAGCGATTATATATGTGTGTACATATATATATATATATATATATATATATATATATATATATATATATATATATATATATATATATATATATATATATATATATATATATATTTTATTTATTTTTTTTTCATTTTTTTTTTTTAAAAGAATTAATTTAGTTATGTTTATTTCTCTATTAAAATATAAACAAACTAGCAGTCAAATACAAGCTGGCAAACCAGTGCAATCTATTAGTGGGAGTTAATTCAACGGTAGACATGGTTTAATCTATCTAAACTTCTTGTGTTAGTTGTGGTGGCTCAGTAGTTAAGGCATTGAGTTACAGATTAGAAGGTTTATGTTCAAATCCGCATAACAAGAGGCATCAGGATACTGGAATATTAGCTAGTATTTGCCCCAAAACATGATATTACTTTGTTTGATTTTTATTTTATTTTTAAGTTTTGACATGTATATTGGGCAGTGACAATATTAAGAACATTACAACTAATTGCATCAGTGATTTGTGCAGTACTATGCTGTTATCAATATGTATAAATCTATTTGTATATATATGTATAAATCTATTATATCTATTTGAAAATGCACTACAATGTGTCGTTACTGTAAACAAACATTATTGTAGGAATACTATAAATACTAATTACAGTAACTACCTGGCTCTTAATCAGCTCTACTGCTGGAAGGATACTGCAATTTTTTTATTAGGTAGTTTTTACAGTGTATCTTTTGGCAGCATTATATTAAATAATGTATTCATATTCCCCTACATCTCTACAATGTTGGAGTTATACAGTACAAAAAAAGTCTTAGGCACAAGAAATACCATAGAGCAAAAATTCCTTGAAAAATAATTAAATTAAATGTTTTTACAAAAAAAAAATATTACTATACAGAGCAGTAAACAATAATAAATGAACCATCTTCTTAAAAGAAATAGCAGTCTCATGTACACTTTGTTTAGTTTTATAAGGAAATGAGCTGTAAGTTTTATTGAGAATTTTGCAGAAGCAGAATACGGACACTTTAGACAATGCCAATCAGCCTACCATGCATGTCTTTGGACTGGGGGAGGAAACCGGAGTACCCGGAGGAAACCCCCGCAGCACGGGGAGAACATGCAAACTCCGCACACACGGCGGGAATCGAACCCCAGAGCCTGGAGGTGTGAGGCGGATGTATATAACCACTAAGCCACCGTGTGCCCACATTTTTCTTTAACATTTAATTTTTTGCTAGAAAACTGTTTGGAATTTAAAATGTTTTTGTACTGACTCGATAATGTAAAAGTCATAACATAAAAATGTTTTTATTGTTTTTTAACCAGCCGGGTTAAAAAATTTAAACACCATTTTCCAATTAATAATTTATGGGAATCAAAACTGTATGTTTTATTTTTTGGGGAGTGGGGGGTTGGGGGGGGTTGGAAGAGCTCACAGGTGTCCATTTGAGAGTTACATAGCCAACTCATTACCCCCACACATCCCCGCCCCCGGGTGAGCCCTGTGAGCTTCACGTCTCATCACTATTTAGCATTATATAAATGTTTTCACATGAATAGGAAAAAGAAAGAAGCAACATGCAGCTGATTTAAAAGGATTAACCCTCTATAATCCTGGCCCACAGCGAAGTTTGAATAGGTGTTTTGAAACTATTATCTAAAAGGTGTTTACATACAACTTAATTACAAAGTGAAATGGCTTTGCAAATTCCTAAAGTTTATTTTATTTATTAATAATTATTACAAAGATTAAATGAAGTAAAATATAAATATTTATAGAAAGGCTTCTGTCTGTATCTATCTTTTCCATCTAAGTAGATGGAACCTGCAGTTGATTAGCAAAGAGTCAGCACCTCTGCACCCATCACTTAGCACTTTTTCTTTTATTTACGAGGGATTTGTGAAGTTACTCCACTGAACATGTGGGTACATGGGGTTTGCCCGAGGGATGTGTCAAATGTACTGCACATACACAGTTAATTCTAAGAAGCATATCCTAATCACATACACTTAATCCATTATCGCTTTCTCCCTTTTCATTCTTTGGTGCATAGACAGGAATGCCAAAATACCTCGGAATGATTTATGAGGCTGTTTTCTTTAAGGATCTCTTCAAACATCAAGCTGTTTAAATACTACATAAAAACTTAATTAATTTAACACAAACAAATAACACTATCGTGTTATATGTAATATAATTATTTATTCATTCATTTCTTTAACCCCTTTTACACTAGTCATGGTTGTGATAAATCCTGGGAAAACTGCCTTGTATGGCGTGGTCCTTACGAAAAATCGTAAGGCTTCAGAGTCTCAAAAGCAGCATGCCCAAATGATTGCACACAAAAAATCGGCCTCAATCGAGCCCTAAACAGGCAGAGTTATGCCCTGGTGCCTCAGTGCTCCCCATTCACCCTGTGGGACATGTTCTGAAAAGCTGTAGTCAATTGCTCACTTCCTGTCTACTTCCTGGTTTGTAAGCTTATGTCTCTGAGGTACGCTTTTACAAGGTACGTTTTTTTTTTTACACTGAATCATTTGGCACCATTCTGGAAATAATAAAATGTTTAAAAACACCCCAAAGATCAGAACGCATCAATACACAGAACTGCACAATTTAGTTTCTTGTAGATGTCACATCTAAAATAAACCATTAGACATTATCTCCAAACAAAACTATCTGTGTTACATATGTCTTGTAATTATGCACAGGTCCTTATTAGTGATAAAGGCTGTTCAGTACAGCACATGGCCTTATAATTAAGAGTGACATTTGCATTGCAAAATGATTCTAATTTATCAAGGAATTACTTATCCCACATTAATAAACTTTATGAAGCATTCGAGTTTATAAAAATGCTTACAAGGAAACATTAACAACCTACAAAGAACTATGAGCACAGTTATAATTGTTAAAAATATATAACCTTCATAGAAAGTGTCACCTAGTTTTTGCATAATTATATTAGCTTTCTTCATTTATTTAACAAACTAGTCATATGCAATAATATTCAGTAATTCAAAGGAATGTGATCCTTTTACAAAATTTTATATACAAAATAATCCAAATAGGTCCACAATTTTCATATTTTCTTAAGTGTTTTACGCATTTAAAAAATAAACCCAATATCCAGTTGCTTGCTACCATTTAAATGTATAATATCATTTTCATGTCACATGAAGAGGGTGCATCGTGGAATTTTCTAATAATAGACTAATAGAATATAACCAGTAATGAGTCTATTGACTTAGCGCAAGACACTACAGGTAAAAACCAAACACCTCTGTTTCTAAATGACCTGCATTCATGTATTTGTACCTGATCATACATATTTAGAATGATATTAAAGTGAAACTTTCCAAAATGTTGACAATTGTTGGATTTACATTAGATTTTATGCCAAAAAAAAAATTAAAGGAAAAAAACCCTACCAACACATTTTTTAATAACAGTCTGTGATATCCTCTTGGTTGAAAAATAAAAATTATTTTCATTTAAAAAGATTTTCACAGTGAGAAACATTTTAATTCTAACATTATTCAAATAATAGATGTTTTTGGTTTTATTATGTATGCAAATGTATGTATGTTTATGTAGATTAAGCCTGATTTACATAAATAAATGTACATTTATTACACAACAAAAATAATAAAATACCTGCAAGAATACCAGCAATCAACCTGCAAAGATTGAAAAAATATCATCATTTTGTGATGTTCACTTGTAGATAGTTTTTGGCTTCAATAAATATAAATATTACATTAAGGCCAATAATCAAAATCAGACTTTTAACAATGCACATACATATTAAATCAAGGGTTTAATAATGAAAGCAATAACAATGTCTTGCCCAAGACATGTTCAAATGTTCAATATTATATGTAGACTTGCAGAATTGCATCATCTAGTGGTTGAAAAGATAAATGCACAACTCTTCGAAATATGTGATGCTCTGGACTTCAATCTTCAACGTAATTTATGGAAGGAAATGGTAAATGACAAACAAAAACCCACCACAAACATAAAAATAGCACACAAAACGTAGATTTTAACGCGTTTAATCTAAATAAACCTGTATCACATTGACGGAGAATCTAGGGGTAAAAAAAGAAGAAGAAGCTAATTAGTTATGAACTGACTCGTAAATGACAATGTATAAAAATCAATTTACTGAATGGAATATTAAAACTAAAAAATAATTAATAATAAATAAAAATAAATAAATAAAAACCATAAATAAGATTATTTTTTATCTACATATATATATATATATATATATATATATATATATATATATATATATATATATATAACACAGTGAAACCTATTCATCTCGATTTCTCTCCCAGCTTTTGTTTCTTCGCTAGAAATAACGCCTGTGTGCCGCGGTGCATTGTGGGTGTGCTCGGAGAAGTAAAATGGCGGACTTGGCAAACGAAGGTAGGCAAATGGGGCGAAGCAATGAAGCCGCAAAACAAAAACACAACCGACTTAAAGAAGTGCAGAAGCATATGGGTGTGTGTTGTAAGACGGTCAGGCTCATTCTGCGCTTCGTTTCTGAGACTCGGGTTTGCTTTAATTCGCCTACGGCTCATTTGGTGCCAATGTTGCAGCTAGCATGGTTAGCGTGAATCTGTTTAGCTTTAGCCTGCTAGCTGAGCTGAGAGGTGCTAGCCCTGGATCAATAGCCGCCTCCGGAGCTAGCTAACGTTCCGGGCCTTTCTGTTTGCTTTGATTTTTTAGGCGGGTACGTCTCTCTCTCTCTCTCTCTCTCTCTCTCTCTCTCTCTCTCTCTCTCTCTCTCTCTCTCTCTCTGTCTCTCAGGTCTAGCGATGTGATTTAGCAGTGTTCGGAGCGTAGAGACACTTTAATGCAGGAACAAAGTCTCAGGTTTTCAAGCTGGCCGGATGTTGTGTATTGGTGTGTAGGTTCTATTCAATGTTTAGAAAGTAATCAGTGATGTCGGGTGAGTGTCAGTCGGTGCAAGCATTCGAACACAACCAACAAGGTCGATCATCATCATCATCATCATCATCATCCCGCTTCACTGGTTTAGCCCCATTATTAGTTAGGATTATTATCGGATCGGATCACCCAGACAGGATTGCTTGCTCGCACATTCGATCAAACCAGCATACACGTGGATATATTTCCAAACACGTTATCTCTCGGGAACGATCTAACATGGTGTTTGTCGTCGTTAGTTCTGTCAGTAATCCCGAGTGTTGGTGATGTACACAGTTCAGGCATTGCTGCTCGGGAGATAATCCAACAGACAGTCCAACATGTGCACACATCAATTTTTTTGATAAACACGATCAGATTGAGGTGTAAAGAAAATCCGGGTACTTTTTTGCTTGAAGGTTAGTTTAGATCACATGGCAGGTCTCTCTCTGATATCTCTGTGTATTTATTATTATTATTTTACCTCTGAAATCTACAGCTCAGCTTGGCGCTAATCTTGTTGCTGGAAATGGGCTTTGCTGTGCTTCTGAAGTGATGTAAAGAAACCGATAGTGTACACAGGTAAAGGGTTTGAAGGATGCATGGATGGATGGATGGATGTGTAATGACATGCCGTTCTTTGCTAATGCTGAGAAATGAAAAGCCGGCCGGTTAAATTAATTCGAGTAGATGTGGTCATTTAGTCGTTCACGTGGGGTTGGGTGGTTAGGAAAATGCACATTTGAGTCATGACTTGCAGTACAGTTCTGTTGTGTGTGTGTGTGTGTGTGTGTGAGAGAGAGAGAGTCTTATGCATCACTTTAAGCCCCTTCAATACAAGTACTGCATGAGATCAGTGGATATCAGCATCTCATGTGGAGGCCAGTCGTGTGCAATACTAGTTACTCGGATAATGAACATCAATGCTGCTAAAATCAGGTTGTGAACTCTGAGTGTAGTGACCTCTTCTGCACTTGAACATCCAGCCAAGTTATCTGGATTCATTACGTTGTGGTTATATTATTATTATTATTATTATTATTATTTAAATATTTTTTTTGCATTGACCACTCTTAAACAGTACGACTAGACTCGTATCGACTGCCCTGATGTGTGGTGATGGGAAGGCTGTGTGTATGTTTGGCTGGGGGTTTGTTGGGAAATCAGAGTAAACCAGTGCTTACAGCGTACACAGAAACCGAGAGCATCTATAAACTATTTACAAACCAGTGTCACTTTTAGAGAAGTGTGTATCCTG